CTCCTCTCCTTCAGTTCTGCTGTTGGCATGCATAGTCTGGCTGGCTGTTTGTAAGCTCTTTGGGGCAGGCACTTGGTGTTCTTCTGGGGGGGACAGGGGGACCTTTGTACCCTGTTGGTACAATGCCAGTAAGTATTAAGTGAGTATCCCTCCCTTTCCTCCGAGGGCCTCAGGGTGGCATAGAGGAGCCACAGAACAGTAGATGCTGGGGACTGAACCTGGGCCTTTCTGCTTGCTGTGTGAACATTGTGCTACTGAGCCATCCCACTTTTATCCTACAACATCCCTATGAGGTAGACCTGGCTGAGAGGTAGTCACCCAGGGAATGTAATGAACCTGAGCATGAATTCGAACTTGGGTCCAGCATTCTGATCTTTTTAACTGCACATGCCAGGGATTGGCTTTGGGATCTTTTGTACGCAAAGCAGATATTCTGATGCTGAGGTAGGGCATGAAGATGTCTTATGCTGAATCAGACCCTTGGTCTATCAAATTCAATCACTCAAACCAGCAGCAGCTCTTGAGGTCCGTCCCCTCCCGCCCGTACCTCCTGCCTGATCCTAGGGATTGAACTTGGGACGCAAAGCGGATGTGCTACTCCTGAGCCACACACCTTTAAAGAAGAAGCTGAGATCCTTGATCTATCAAGATCAGCATATGGGCCACTCTGAGTAGCAGCGGCCGGCCATACAGGTTCTCAGGCTGAGGCCTTTCACATCACCTACTGCCAGATCTTTCAACTGGAGATACCGGGGATTGAACCTGGGACCTTCTCCATGCCAAGCAGAGGCTCTAACCCTGACCCACAGCCCTTTGAGGAAGTCAGAGCTTTGGTCTATCTGTTGGGGTTAATTGGTGCCGTTAGTCCAGTTCCCACGAGTCAGCGGAGTGCTTCAGTAAAGCTACAACCGCAGCAGCGTCACTTCACCAGGTTACTCAGCTTACCAAGCTACACAGAGCCACATCGCAAGTTTAGAAGAGAAATACTTCTCTCTTTATTTGAGAAGTACACTTTTGGATAGGAAAGAGTAGGGACAGGATAGGGTACTAACTTACAAGCTAAGGATGGAAGGAGATGGCGAGAGGGCTGTCTGCCTCATGGTGCCAAGAGAGGACAGCATGTCTTCCCTCTTGGGGTGTGCAGGGAGAAGGGAGAGCTTCGTCCGAGGGAGAGAACGGAAGGAAGGAAATTGTCCCTGGGGACAGAATCTACATTTCAAAGGGGACAGTGGCAGAAGAGTAAACGCAGGAAGGAAAGGTCAGTGTGCCCATCTAGCTATCTAGTCTCTCTTGCCACTTGCTTCTGGAGGTCTGAGAGGGGGGATGGCACCTTCACTTCCAACATTATCAAGGTCAATGTTGGCTACACAGATCTTGGGGAATCTTCCCCTGAGTCTTGTAATTGGAGATGCCGGGGATTGAACCTGGGACCCTCTGCGTGGCAAGCGGATGCTCTGCCACCGAGCCACAGCCTCTCCCGCCGTTCTACTCTGTCACCCTGCCGATAGGCCCTTGGCTGTGAAAGTCTGCTGTCTTGCAGAGCTCTTCTTAAGCACAACGAACGGGCAACCACGCAGCCAGGTTGCTTCGATTCACTTTCTTTATGCGATCCGAGGGAGTTAGTCCGGGGGGGGGGAGTGATCCCTGCTATCCCCGATGCCCGCCTAGAGGCCCAGGCTCGGCTCCACAGCTGGAGAGTCAGCGTGTTTCATTCACAATACCGGAGGCGGTTTGCTGTCGGTGCAAATTCTGCCTTCTGGAACGGTCGGCCACTGTGCTCCCCCCGCCCCGTCACTCTCTCCTATAACTCTCTGTTAGGGATGGAGAAGTTTAGGCAGAGTCAGCAAAACATCAGGGGCTGTTTGGAAGAGGGTCGGACAGGGGTCAGCTCAGCCAAGAGGAGAGACGGGCAGGGAAAGAAAACGGGATACACAGGTAAGCGTGGATTGACAGACAGGTACCGAGGGATGGGTAATCGGGGACCGGGGGATGGACCAGGAGTCTCCAAACAGCATGCATCACGATACAAATGTCAGAGCTTTGCAGTCCCAATGATGGCGCTTGGCTCTCCCAACAAACCTCCTCTCCTCTGCCGCCGATGGCCAGGAGCCAGCTGAACCCTTGGCACAGAGCCCATGGCTCACAGTTTTGATGGACCAACTCCGTGGGTATCAGCCGAGCCCAGGATGACTTGGGGGGGGGGCAGGGTTGCATCTTTCTTCACGCTTCATTTTGTCCACGTTCTTTTCGATTGCATTTCCCTTTTCTTTGTGAGCTGCTTCGGGCTCCCTTTGAGCGGCGAAGCGGGATAAGAAACACGTTAACTGACAGTGCCGTCAGAGTTTCAGGCTAGGATCTCCGAGTGCGATTCTCCATGGGCTTTTCCCTCCGTTGTTTTACCAGACCCACCTTGGAACAGAAATTCCCCTCTGCGTTGCATGCTGCTTTCACTTCCTTTGAGCCAGTTTGGTGTAGTGGTTAAGTGCGTGGACTCTAATCTGGGAGAGCCGGGTTTGATTCCCCACTCCTCGACTCGCAGCTGCTGGATGACCTTGGGCAAGCCATAGTTCTGATAAGAGCTGTTCTTGAAAAAGAGCAGTTTCTGTCAGAGCTCTCTCAGCCCTACGTACCTCATGGGGTGTCTGTTGTGGGGAGGGGAAGGGAGAGGAGTTTGTAAGCCAGTCTGAGACTCCGAGTGACTAGGCAGGGTATAAATCCAATCTCTTCTTCTTCTTCTTTCTATCACCTGCTAGAGAGCCAGTTTGGTGTAGTGGTTAAGTGTGCAGACTCTAATCTGGGAGAACCGGGTTTGATTCCCCACTCCTCCACTTGTACCTGGCTGGATGACCTTGGGCAAGCCGTAGCTCTGGCACAGCTGTTCTTGAAAAAGAGCAGTTGTGTCAGAGTTCTCTCAGCCCCACCCACCTCACAGGGTGTCTGTTGTGGGGAGGGGAAGGGAAAGGAGTCTGTAAGCCAGTCTGAGACTCCGAGTGACGGGCGGGGTATAAATCCAATCTCTTCTTCTTTGACCATTGGGTTTATGGTACCCTCTACACTGCATGCCACTTTCGCTTTCTTTGATCACCAGGTTTTACAGTACCTTGGGTGACTCTGCAGTCAGTATGGCGTTGGCCCAGGGTATCTGAATGTGGTTGTGAGCTGCTTCGGGCTCACCTTTTCCTCCCAGTTGAGAAAATGTGGAGCAAATGCTAGATGCAGAATATTTATTTATTTATCAGATTCAGCCGAAGCCAGCTCAGGGCGGCTTATATAAACGCATAAAAACACATCAGTAACAATGGAAACAATCCTAAAATCGCCTAAAAAACAGTCCAACCTTATCAGGTGCTTTAAACATTAAGTGATACTTACTTGTATGTATATACGTATGCCAGTATAGGCTTGTCAAATGTACTGTAAAAGTGATACTTACAGTAACCATATTATTAAACAATGGCGGCCATCAGTCGGTGAGGTCTTCTAGTGATTGGCCCATAGATCTAATCCTGACACGGAGCGTGGCTGTTTGCCTCGAAGCAAAATAACGCGCGGCTGACTGATCACACATCCCGTCGAGGTCCTGTGGTGCAGGCTGTTGTTAGTGGCTCCAGGGGACCGGGTTCTCTACCTTTCAACGATTGGTGGCGGCTCCTTAGTTGAAAGAATTGCCCAGAGTTGCAGGTTGGACTCCCCACTGCCCTGGCAGCTCTCTGTCTGACCTTGGGCCAGTCGCTCTCGGCCCAAGCTACCTTACAGGGTCGTTGGGGATAAAACGCAGGAGGAGGGAATGATGTTTTTCGCTTGTTTTTAAGCTGGCTTTTAAACTATTACTGTAAGCTGCCTTGAACCGCAAGGAAAGGCAGAGTATAAATGTTTTAAGAAACAAATAGGCCCAGTTCCCCGTCTACATTGGCGTGCCACTTTCGCTTTGATTGATTGTCAGATTTTATGGCAGCGTCCAGACTGCAGGCAGCTTTCCCTTCCTTTGATCTCTCGGTTTTATGGTACCGTCTGCATAGATTTATGGCCGTTTCATGGCCCTTCAGGGGTGAGTCTGCAGTCGGTAGGGTGTTGGCCCCGGGGTATTTCAAAGTGGTTTTGAGCCGCATCTTTCCTGTTCCAGTGTGGGTCTGGTAAAACAGCGGAGCAAATGCTAGATGCAGATTGGGCCATAAGCTGATTTGGGTACCCATTGGGGTAAAAAGTGGGGAATAGATTGATGATTCCCCCGTGGTACACTGGTGCGCAACAGTTGTGATTCCCCCCAAGCTGTCCTTGAGTGACTTGTCCAGGGAATTGGCCCTGGCAACCCCCCCCCCCTAGGGTTCCCAAGTCAAATCTTCTTACTGGCGGGGGAGCCTTGCCGGGCTCTGGGAGCCGTTCTTCGATGTGCGCTCGCGCGCCGCCAGCACGTCACCAGAAGTGACGCGCGACGTCGATCACGTTGAAGGCGTGGCCCCGATCGTCGATCTGGTGCAATTCCGCAGGGCCTGTAAGACGGAGCTCTTCCACCAGGCTTTTGATTAGGGGCCGCCGCCACCACCCCACCCCCCGCTGTATACCATCAATGTGGGGGGGTGAGGGCCCTAGGAGGCTAGGAGGAACATCTGTGGAACATCTGTTTAACATCTTTTACGCTATGCCTACCAAGGGATGTTTGGTATGTGGTTTGTCCTCTCTGATATCTTAGTATGGACGCTGTGTAGTCTGAGCACTTTATTGTCTGATTGGGTTTTAAATTGTATACTATGTTTTTAAATTGTACTATAGTATTTGATGTTTTTATGAGCAAGTTTTTGCCATGTAAGCCGCCCTGAGCCCTACGGGGGAGGGCGGGATATAAATTTAACAAATAAATAAATAAAATAAATAAATATAAAGCGTTACACCCCCCGCCTAGTGTGCTGAAATCCCTAATGGTGTGCCCAGAGAGTAACCGTCACCCTTATGTCTAACCTCCTTGCTTCTGCCAGCAGGTGCTTTCTCAGAAGTAGACCAAGATGTACAGCTTCATGGGCGGGGGGCTGTTCTGTGCCTCGGTGGGGAACGTCCTCCTGGTGATTTCGACGGTCACCGACTACTGGATGCAGTACCGGCTGGCTGGGACCTTTTCCCACCAGGGACTCTGGAGATACTGTGTGTCTGGGAAATGCTACATGCAGGTGGAGAGCATCGGTAAGAGACCACTTGGAGCAGGAACCTTCGGGGGGGGGGGCTGTTTGTGTGCGGGCCTGTGTGCAAATTCTGTAGCTCGGTCGGACGGGTAGACGGACCCTTGAGCCTGCCTGGAAGTTGCGTTTTCTCTGCCGGCAATCCCAAAAGTGAAGGGGCTGGGCTTGGGTAGGGTTGCTTCATGAGAAGGGAATGAACTCTGCACATGGTTAGAGGCACTTGTTGCCAATGCTCCCTCTAAGCTGTGAGCAAAAAATTCTACTTTGTGAGCAGGTGATTCAGCTGCTGAAGAATTAGTTTGCTCTGGAGCCAGCCTTCCTGAGCTAAGACAAAAATGTGTGAGCCGGAGGCTAAAAAAAATGTGAGCTAGCTCACACAGTAACTCAGCTTAGAGGAAGCACTGCACATTACTCTCATTAAGGCACTCGAGGACGCTGCTGGGCCACAGGCCCGTAGCCAGGATCTTGTGGCTGGGGGGGCGGGCTGCCATTATTTGGGATAATGAAGGGAGTTGGCACAAGCCCCTCGCCTCCGCTCCTGCAAGATTGAAAGGGCCCTTCAGCTGATCAGCGGGGAACACTGTGGCCTACCGGTCAGCTGGAGGGCCCTTTAAATCTTGAAGATGGGAGGGAGAGGGGTGTGCACCACCCCCTGCTTCTTCTCAAAAGCATTTAAAGGATCCCTCTAAATGCTTTTGGGAAGAAGCACGGGGCCTTTAAGAAGGGGGGCCCTTTAAGGAAGGGATTGAAGCCCCCAATAGCCCCACAGTAGCTATGGGTCAGTTGGGCCTTATGGTATCGACAGGTTGCTGCTGTTATTGTTAGCCAGGTTCAGGGGTCATTTCGTAGAAAAAGAGGTGCAGGAGCTCATTAGCATAACTCATTAGCATAACATATTTGCATATGCCACGCCCCCGGACCTCACCAGAAGTGTGTCAGAAGGCAACACCCACCGCTCAGGCTCCACCGAACTGTTTTGGATTGCTAGCTATTGGGGGGAGACGTGCAGATCTGTCCTCGCAGAGGAGGGAGAGCTTGTACTTGGTCTTAAAGGCGCCACAGGACTGTTTTGGGCCGGGGGACCGGGGGGAGCTCTGCAACTTACCTGCTTCTTGCTCTGACTGAGGGCTGCTGGGAGCAGGGGGTGGGGCTTGTTGCATGTGCCCGCCCCCTGGGCTCTTTACTGCCAGAGCGCCGCTCCTGTGAGCTCCTGCAGGAAATGACCTCTGGCCAGGTTGCATTTTCATTATTACGAGCCAGTTCAGCCACACTTGGTGGGGATCAAGAATAAGAACCCAGAATCAGGCTCTGCAGACCAGGAATAAACTTGCTACTTAGGGGGTAACCAGGGACAGGGATCGACAGGGATTGATTTCCACCTCTCCCATCAGCGGGTGGCCGCCATTCGGTCCTGAGGTTAAAAAGTCACATATTTGCAATGAGTGCAAAACCAGCCAGCCACCAGCCACAGGGATGCCACTGGATGGGAAAGGGCCAATACAACCCATTCCTGTCCATCTCAGCCAACATTTAGCTCAAAAACAAAAATGTTAGGTCAAAGGCTTTCCTGCCTTGGTGTTGCCTATATGTGAACTGCTCTCAGTCTTGTTTCCCGTAGCCTATTGGAACGCCACCCGGGCCTTCATGATCCTATCCGCCCTCTCTTGCTTCGCGGGGATCATCACAGGCATCCTCTCCTTCGCCCAGTTCTCCACCTTTCAGCGCTTCAACAGATCTTTCGCTGCCGGCATCTTGTTTTTTGCTTCCAGTAAGTACCCTTTTTCTAGCATTCACAAAGCTGGGCACCTTAAACCATTGGGCACTACAGACTGGAGAGCCAGTTTGGTGTGGTGGTTTAGGAGCGCGGACTCTAACCTGGGAGAACCGGGTTTGATTCCCCACTCCTCCACATGCAGCTGCTGGTGTGACCTTGGGTCAGTCACAAGTTCTCTCAGAGCTGTTCTCTCAGGAGCAGTCCGAGAGAGAGCTCTCTCAGCCCCATCTACATTACAAGGGAAGGGGAGGGGAAGGGATGGAGATTGTAAGCCACTCCGAGACTCCTTTGGGTAGTGAAGGGCGGGGTATAAATCCAATCCCCTCCTCTTCCTCCTCCTCCTTTTCTTATTCTTCCTCTTCTTCTTCCACATAAACACGCATAGGACTGGGCAGGCAGTAACCCACTGGGGAGAGTGAGAGGTTAATTCCAGGCTCATTTGCTTCCCTTCTTGCAAGCACGGACTACCCATTTAGAGCACATGTGCTGTAGTGGTTAGTGTCGGTCTAGGATCTGGGAGACTCAGGTTCGAATCTCCATTTTGCCATGGAAGCGCGCAGAGTGGCTTTGAGCCAGTTGTGTCCTCTCTGCCAACCTACCTCGCAGGGTTGTTGTGTGGATAAAACGGAGGAGAGGAGAATAACGTAAGCTGCTTTGGCTCCCCACTGGGGAAGGTGGAGGAAGTAATGTGAATATACACATCCAGGAGTCTTCTCTTTGCTGCGTAACGTGGAGGCCGGTATTCACGCAAGCACCACGCGGATGATACTTCCTTCCTCTTCCCTCCCCTCCTCAGCACTGTTTGTCCTCCTGGCAATGGGGATTTACACGGGAGTCAGCGTCAACTTCCTGGGCAAGCGCTTTGGCGAGTGGCGCTTCTCCTGGTCCTACATCCTGGGCTGGGTCGCCCTCCTGATGACCTTCTTTGCAGGTATCTCAACTTCCTTTCCCTCCACGCAGCCCAAAGGAAGGACATTGGTGGCAGCTCTCTTCCGTGGCTTGGACCCCAGGGGGAGGTGCCCTTGCCTCCGGCCAAACTCATGCCTGAGACCTTGGAGAGCAGCTGCCAGTCTGAGTAGATAATACTGACTTTGATGGACCCAGGGCCTGATTGGGGCCTGGGCAGGACAGGGACCTCGGTAGGGATGCCATTCCGCCAATGCGGGTGGGATTCCCCCCTGATTTTGGGACCCCCAATTAGAGATGTGAAGGCCTGGAAAAAAAATGGAAAAATTCGGGAAAAAAGTCTTTTTGTTTTTTTCTGAAAAATTGGAAAAATTGAAAAAAGAAAAAAAATTGATTATGGAATAAAATATTTTAAGACAAGGTGTTCAAATATTTTCCAAATCATTTCTAAAACATATATACATAATACATGGAATCAGATTGATCTAATTTCTGTGCACTGAGGACAAGCAAGTCCTAGGTTACAAACTGAACCCTCCAATGCAAGAACAAGATACATTTCTTTCTTTAGGAGGTGCGATTGTCAGAAGAAAATAAAAAAGTTTCAGTTTTGTTTTTGCATGTGGGT